TCATCAGCAGCAGCAGCAACAGCAACAACAACAATAATAACAATACAATAACAAAACAACAACTACTACAAAGCAGCGCCAACACCACCACCACCATCATCAGCAACAGCAACTTAACATCTTTTCTCCCGGCTAGAAATAATGCTGGTGAAAGAAAGCATAGAATATCAGCAAAACACAACAAAACAAAACAAAAACATGCCATCTGAAAGCAGAGAGGTAATTGTCTGCTAATCGAGACTTGACGACCAGATCCCTGCAATGTCTCAGAGGCTCACTGGAGGAGACACAGGGTGGGACGGGTGGGGTGGTGGCTGGGGGAGGAGAGGAGCCGCTGGAACGTCTAAAGATCGTTATCCATCCATGCCATACACAGAGCTGGGACGAAAAACAGACAGTGAGTTTTATATTTGTTTCTTTGTAGTAAGCGTCTAACAACCTAACACTTTTCCACTGGGTCAGTTCAAGTATTTGGTGGCACTGACTAAATACGTCTTATCAGAGATGGACGCCAAACAGTGGCTGCATTTCTTTGATCCAGGGGTCACCAAACTACGGTACACGGGCCAGATCCGGCCCACTTGGTGAAGCCCACATGGGATGCTCACTGTAAAAAACAATCAGGAAACGACATATGCAGTTTTGGGGACACCCGAATAGACATACAGGTCTTGAACACCTGGCTCTCACTGGCCCAATTGAAGGCAAGCGAGGCAGGGGAAGCCCCAGAGCAACCTACGTGGGGAACCTAAACAAATGGGTAACGGGGAAAGATCAGGGAAACGTAGCTTTTCTAAGAGCATCCGAGCAAAGGAATGATGTCTGTCGTAGATCTGGCACTGGATGAGTAGAAATGGGCCTCAGGAAACTCCGAAAATCGACTTTCTCAAACTGTATAACAAGTGCTTGACAATGAGGCAGGAGTTAGGACAGGACAAAGGCACGATGGCGACAGGCGGGAATATCAACCATTCACACGCTACTAACGTTTTCTAAGACTCCAACAGATCCTGCTTAGCAAAACAGTTAGGGGACTTAGTGCGTCTCAAAATGTATTGACCGCTCACAAAGACTTTTTTGGGTGAATATTATGTAAGTTATTTTAAATGCTATACAAGTAAGATAAGATAAGACACGATAAGATAAGACAAAACAAGTCAAGACAAGAATAAACAGACAAGACAAGACAATACAAGATATGGCAAGACATGACAAGACAAGACAAGACAAGACAAGACAAGACAAGACAAGATACTTTGTACGAGGTGTGGGTTGAGCTTACGTACTTTTGCCACGATTTCATAATATGAGACATCTTTACATTTCGTTTTCATTTTACGAATATCCAGAGACCCTATCGTGACTCCAAGCTAAAAAGCCTTTGCAAACACTAAATTATTATTCAAATTGCGCCGACAAGATTGCAATCTATCCTTCATCCCTCTAGGAAATTGCCATCACAACGTCGAATTCATTGGTCTGCTTCGATTGTCATTTCTACAAGCATTTTACTACTACATACTCAAAACTTAGTTAAATTTGCAGATCAAAGTGAAGACGAACAAGAAAAATCGTCGTGGAAATCAGATCTTCCCCTCAAAAGGGCAGTAGTGTCCCTGCTAAAATATATTTCAAACTTGAGAGACAGAGACAAGACCTAATGTACAAATTATTATTCAAAGAGAATGAACTCTTTCAAGTTGAGTTCGTTGCGGAAACAGAATACAATTAAAAATATGTTGCCAGCTAATGTTTTATCTACCACTTTGAGTTAGTTTAGCAAGAAATTTACGGCCCTCGCCGCAATAGCATGAGGTCATTATTATGTGCGCGGAACACCAATCGGTTGCATTAACGCCAGTTCTTAGCACGGCTTCATAGTGTGGTCAATGAACAGATTAAAATGTTTAAAATTCATGGTAAAAATCTTAATTAATTTTTTTTTTCTCTAAAAACAACTTCTAACTCTGTGTTTTTTATAGCAGCGACACAAAATAGCAAGACCGATTTATGGAGTGCTTATATATGAATGAATTTTTATGACACCAGGAGAAAAAAGAACTTAATAAAAAAAATTAATTTTTATTAAACCTAAGAATTAATGTTTCGACATTAGGCCATTCAACACCTCTGGTAAACTTCTTGCATTTCTTTTATAAATGCTCTGGCTGATTCCCTAGCCCCAGTCCGGAGCTGCTAAATTATATATCAATTAACAATCGCAACATATTACATTACATAGCGTGAAACCCTATTAGAAAGAACTGCACTTACAGAAACATTATGTAACTTACTATTTTTATATCAAGTAGATTTTTAAAAAAAAGTAGATCTAATATACATCTGTTTTGATATTACGTAATTAATGTTAATTTTTAGATTGAGATTTTTTCAATGAATTTTTAACATTTTAATCTATTCATTGATAAAAAATGAAGCCTTGCTAAGAACTGACGTGAAAGTAGCCATCTTGTGTTTCGCGCGCTCATCTGACTTGATGCAGTTGAGAGCGCCGTAATACTCTTACTAAAGCGAAAAGAAAAAATGTTCTGTGCCGCTATAAAACATAGTATTACCCCAACGGACCCCGAACTTCCGAAACATTCCCAGCTGCCTGAGAAGCATTCAGTGCAAACTGCCGTTTAGAAGAGGTGTCTTTGTCGTTTTTTTTTCTTCTTTTTTTTGTTTCGGGGGTGGAGTGGGGGTCTTTTTCCGTTTTAAGGCATGCGACGTTTCTTACTCAACGTCCTACAGAACACATTGTAGGTCATTCGAAGGCGGGTAGCTTAGTCGTTCTCCTCCGTCCTCCATCTTCGCCTCCTCCTCCTCCTCCTCCTCCTCCTCCTCCTCCTCCTCAAACCTATCCCACCATCAGTCACTTCGAAGCCGGATAGCAGCTACGACAGTCCCATTCGTCAGGGGCAATACTCCACACACGGGTTCGATACCGCTGATTAGCTCCCTTGAAACCCTATTCATAACCCTCTGGGGCCTTGATTTATCACCTTTCTAACTAACTCACTCACTCACCCCGTATGTGTCCATGTATGTATGTAGCACTCTGTGTATCTAGCCTTCTATTTGTTTATTAGATACACTCACTCACTCACTCACTCACTCACTCACTCACTCACTCACTCACTCACTCACTGACTCACTGATTCACTGACTCACTGAACCACTAAAATGGTTCAGAGATGTGGAACACACACAAAACAATTTTCAACGAAAATTAAAAAGCTTAAAAAAATGTCTGCGAAGAAGTTTACTAACAAAATGGAATGAAGTGTTAGAAAGAGCTGGAATTGAAGACACAACAGTAAAAAAGAGAAGATGGAAATATCAGGGACATGTTCTGAGAATGCCAAAGACGAGATAGATTGCCTTATCAGACGTGGCATTGGAAACCAACTGGGAAGAGAATGCGGGGAAGACCGACTGGAAGCTATAGAGGCACAATAATAATAATAATGATAATAATAGATTGCATTTGTATAGCGCAAATCCCCGCTCAACAGCAGGCTCTATGCCCTTCACAATCTATACTATTACCCCAGCAGACCTGAGAGCATTCTGAAACAACCTGAACTTCCTGGGAAGCATACAGTGCAAGCAGCCATTTATAGGCGCTAAAACACTAACATACTGACAAGATCTTTCCCTGTCTATACCCGGGTACCCATTCCCACTTCGGTGAAGTGAGGAAATTCGTGTAAAGTGCCTTTCCCAAGGACACAACGTCGGGCCCGCGGCTCAAACTTCCTACCCTGCAACCTCACGATTACGAGTCCGGTAGCCTAACCACTAGGCCACCGACACTACAATAAGAGTTGAGGCAATCGCCCTGGGCCGAGATGTGCCAAAATTAGAGAAAGGTGCCGCGACAGACAGGCGTGGCGTCGACTGCTCTCCGCCTTATGTACCTGGCGGTATAGGGAAAGAGTAAGTAAGAGTAAGTAAGTATTGACACAGCGTCGTCTCAGAACTATTTTGTCCAAACTGTACTTAAGTGCCCACTTTGGACAAAATAGGTCTGAGGCGACGTCAGTTTAGATCATTTAGGGGGCGTGCTTCCGACGCTCCTGTCGGGGCAAACTCGAACTGAATGTGTGGGCTTGTGAGTGAGCGAGTGAGTGAGTGAGTGAGTGAATGAGTGAGTGAGTGAGTGAGTGAATGAGTCAGTGAGTGAGTAGGTGAGTGAGTGAGTGAGTGAGTGAGTGAGTGAGTGAGTGAGTGAGTGAGTGAGTGAGTTAGTGAGACACTGGGTCAGTGAATCAGTAAGTGAGTGTGAGTGAGACACTGGGTCAGAGAATCAGTGAGTGAGTGAGTGAGAAAATGAGTGAGAGAAATTTTATAGACTCATGTTATAGAAAGGTAGGTATACAGATCCAAAAAACAACACACCTTGCCCACGTCCAACATTTACATCTTCTCCCTATACCTTGTGGTACGAGAGCACAGGAAAAAAGTAAGCAAGCAAGCAGGTAAGCAAGCGGGCAAGCAAGCAAGCAAGCAAGCAAGCAGAAAGACAGACAGAGAGACAGAAAGACAGACAGACAAGCAGACAGGCAGGCAGGAAAGAAGGCAGGCAGGAAGGCAGATAGGTAGGTAAATAGGAAGGTACGTAGGTATGTAGGTAAGTAAGTAAGTAAGTAAGTGAGTGAGTGAGTGAGTGAGTGAGTGATTGAGTGAGTGAGTGAGTGAGTGAGTGAGTGAGTGAGTGAGTGAGTGAGTGAGTGAGTGTGTGAGTGAGTGAGTGAGTGAGTGAGTGAGTGAGTGAGTGAATAAGTAAGTAAGTAAGTAAGTAAGTAAGTAAGTAAGTAAGTAAGTAAGTAAGTAAGTAAGTAAGTAAGTAAGTAAGTAAGTAAGTAAGTAAGCAAGTAAGCAAGTAAGTAAGTAAGTAAGTAAGTTAGTTATTCAAAAAGAAAGTTAGTAGTCAAGTGAGTGCACATGACGGCACAGCAGTAGTAATAATGATGATGTACACGACTACAACTCACCTGATAGTAGTCCACAGCCACAATGAAGCAGGTGAACGGCAGCATGTATCCGATTCCCGACAGCACAAACGCGATGTAGATTCGATTGTACCGGTCCGAGAGGGCAGCTTTCCCTTCACCGGACTTGAAGTCCGGCCTAAAAGGGTCTGCTCTCGCCGCATCAAACATGTGTGGCTCCCCATCTCGGGACCGCCTAGACATCCCGGAGTGGTCTGGTACATCGCTGAATTCCTCCACTCCCGCGCTGAACTGTACGTAGCCCGGCGGTTTGCCCACTGACGTCATCTTTTTGTCTGAGGTGAAGGTCACGGGGTCACCACCTTGAGGTCAATGGTGAGGGGGTCAAGGTCTGAAGGTTAATATGCGGAGATGAAGGTCACAAGGTCGAGCCAAGAGTGTAGAGGCTGTGGATAAATCATGTTTGTTTGTGATGAGAACAGGTCAATGTGTAAAAATGATATTACGTCCGTTTTTAAAAATACTCTTTTCCATCTTTCTATCTTTCTTTCACTCTTTCTCTTTGTCTTTGGTTTTATCCTTTTTCTGTCTGTCTGTCTGTCTGTCTGTCTGTCTGTCTGTCTGTCTGTCTGTCTGCCTGTCCGTCTGTCTGTCTTTCTTTCGTAATATCAATCAAAGACGGCTTTTAACAAAGGTAGCGCGCTACCACACCCCACCCCCTCCAAAATAGAAAAATAAATCAAAACGATTAAGCAAAAAGTAGTTTCCTTGTGTTTCTTTTTTATTCTTCTTTTTCTATCTCGAGATAGCTCACCCCTATATCTCTCTTTATATTTCTTTTCTACTTCCTCCCCTTCTCCATTCCTTCTTTTCCTTTCTTCCTTTAACCCATATTCCAGTCTCTCTCTCTCTCTCTCTCTCTCTCTCTCTCTCTCTCTCCCTCTCTCTCTCTCTCTCCCCTCTCTCCCCCCTCTCTCTTTCTTTCTCTCT